CACTGGGTATGTTGGGGGTCCTGGCGTAGATGAGGGACTGGGTCCACGCATGGATCTGTTCTCGGTCTGGATTCAATCAGGGTGCTGTAAGTGTTCGCATTTACCGTGTTCGAGGCCAGGATGAGTCTCATTTGCTCGTCTGACCTGGGTCACCGAAATGACAAAAAGAAAACAGTCACGGGTCTCGCCTGAATGGAATCTGGGATCTGGATTGAATCGGGGGTCTGGATTGAATCTGGGTTTGGATTGAATCTGGGGTCTGGATTGAATCTGGGGTCTGGATTGAATCTGGGGTCTGGATTGAATCTGGGATCTGGATTGAATCTGGATCTGGATTGAATCTGGGTCTGGACTGAATCTGGGATCTGGATTGAATCTGGGGTCTGGATTGAATCTGGGATCTGGATTGAATCTGGGTCTGGATTGAATCTGGGATCGGGATTGAATCTGGGGTCTGGACTGAATCTGGGGTCTGGATTGAATCTGGGGTCTGGATTGAATCTGGGATCTGGATTGAATCTGGGTCTGGATTGAATCTGGGTCTGGATTGAATCTGGGATCTGGATTGAATCTGGGATCTGGATTGAATCTGGGGTCTGGACTGAATCTGGGGTCTGGATTGAATCTGGGGTCTGGATTGAATCTGGGGTCTGGATTGAATCTGGGATCTGGATTGAATCTGGGTCTGGATTGAATCTGGGATCTGGATTGAATCTGGGTCTGGATTTATTCAGCTCGCCCTCACCCCCCCCCCCCCCCCGTGACTCCAGGTGGTACCCAGATGACCCCCCCCCCCCCACCATCGGCCTTCCCCCCGCCCCCCCGCCCACTGGTATACAGGAGGTTGTGGGTTCGATCCCGACCCTGACGCGTGGATTTTTCTTGGGGTCCTCTGGGGTTCCTCCCCTCCCCCGCACAGTTAGAATGAAGGCTGCTCTATAAGTTATCCCGCACGACGATGAAGCCCACTTTGTGGATAGGCAGGTCAGCTCTGAAAAAGACGAGAGCGAGAAACGACATCAGTGGAGAGAGAGATGCAGACGACGACAACAACAATTTCACTTTAAAGAATCTCATTCAAACAACGCTCTACATTAATTGTACACAGTCCAACCCCTCCACCTTCTCATCGACGGCGATTGGATCCACGCAACGAGTCGTGAAGCGAATCGCTCGTTAAACGAGGATAGGGAATGCACGTTAAAGGGTTAATTCGTTCCGATAGCATCGCAAGCGTACACCCCATTTTTCACCCAAAAAAACTTACTTTATAATATTTAAACAATGCATAGTAATACTTGAAGATACTAACGACGTTATAAACGCATACTATTAAAATAAACATGGTTAATCAATACATTAATGAATGTTTATTGTACCTACAATAGCCCATTGTTAACATGAGAATGGTCACTAAGCGAACACATTGGGCTATATGGAGACACTATACACTACTATACACTACAATACACTACTACACACTACACTATATACTACTATACACTACACTATACACTACTATACACTACACACTACTATACACTACACTACAATACACTACTATACACTACAATACACTACTACACACTATACACTACACTATATACTACACCGCTATACACTAGACACTACACTACTATACACTACTATACACTACACTACTATACACCACACTACTATACACTACACTATACCCTACACGAGGCACACTACACTACTATACACCACACTACTATACACTACACGACTATACAATACACTACTATACACTACACAATACCCTACACTAGGAACACTACACTACTATACACTACACTACTATACATTATTATACACTACACTACTATACACCACACTACTATACACTACACTACTATACACCACACTACACTACCACTATACACCACACTACTACACACTATACACTACTATACACTACACTACCACTATACACCACCACTATACACCACACTACTATACACCAGTACACACACTAGACTACCACTATACACCACACTACTACACACTATACACTACTACACACACTACACTACCACTATACACCACACTACTATACACTACACTACCACTATACACCACACTACCACTATACACTACACTACCACTATACACCACACTACCACTATACACCACACTACTATACACTACACTACCACTATACACCACACTACCACTATACACCACACTACTATACACTACACTACCACTATACACCACACTACACTATACACCACACTACTACACACTATACACTACTATACACTACACTACCACTATACACCACACTACTATACACTACTATACACTACACTACCACTATACACCACACTACTATACACTACTACACACTACACTACCACTATACACCACACTACTACACACTATACACTACTACACACACTACACTACCACTATACACCACACTACTACACACTATACACTACTACACACACTACACTACCACTATACACCACACTACACTATACACTACTATACACTACACTACCACTATACACCACACTACTATACACTACTACACACACTACACTACCACTATACACCACACTACTACACACTATACACTACTACACACTACACTACCACTATACACCACACTATACACTACTACACACACTACACTACCACTATACACCACACTACTACACACTATACACTACTACACACACTACACTACCACTATACACCACACTACTATACACTACTACACACACTACACTACCACTATACACCACACTACTACACACTATACACTACTACACACACTACACTACCACTATACACCACACTACTACACACTATACACTACTACACACACTACACTACCACTATACTCCACACTACTACACACTATACACTACTACACTACCACTATACACCACACTACTACACACTATACACTACTACACACTACACTACCACTATACACCACACTACTACACACTATACACTACTACACACACTACACTACCACTATATACCACACTACTATACACTACTACACACACTACACTACACACTATACACCACACTACTACACACTATACACTACTACACACACTACCACTATACACCACACTACTATACACTACTACACACACTACACACTACTACACACACTACACTACACACTATACTACACACTACTACACACACTACACTATAAACATTGGGCTCTATGGAGGCCGTCGTGAAGCGATTTGTCGTTAACAGGGGCAGTCGTTAAGACGAGTTCTACTGTATGAGAGGCAAATTCTATACACATATATACTGTATAGCAACTACAGTATATACTGTATAGCAACCAAAATATAGACTGTACAGCAACTACAGTACGTGCTGTGTAGCAACTACAGTATATACTGTATAACTACAGTACGTACTGTGTAGCAACTACAGTATATACTGTACAGCAACTAAAGTATATACTGTATAACAACTACCAAACAAATGAAAAAACCCTCCAAAACTAACAACTGCATTAACAAGTAAATACGCACAGACAGACAAAGATAAAGATCCCCCATATAGCCTTAACAGACTGTAGGGGCAAGTGCTGTTAGCGAGCGCCTATGAAGGCCGGAACGGTACACGAGGGGGTGGGTGGCCAGCACCACGCCCGACCGCCTTTGTCTCCCCAGTAGCAATGTTTACACACCACACCAGCTACTCATTTGAGGCTGAGTCGACTTAGGGGAGGCCCAGGACCGGTTCAGATAATCGTCACTGGTGTTGGCCGTGAGCGGGAATCGAACCCGGGTCGCCAGGTTCATAGCGCAGCGTAGCGCTAACCGCTACACTACCGCTCCCCACAACACACACAGACACACACATACAGACACACATATACACACAGACACACACAGACAGACACACACAGACACACACACAGACACATACACACAGACACACATACAGACACACACAGGCACACACAGACACATAACACAGACACACACATAGACACATAACACAGACACACACACAGACACACACAAAGACACACACAGACACACAGCCATAACACAGACACACACACATAGACACATAACACAGACACACATACAGACAGACACACACAGACACACACAAAGACACACACAGACACACAGACGAGACGAGAGTGGACGCTTGCATTTGCTTTCTGTCCACTGGCTCGCGATATATTTCAGATTGGAATGAGAACGCCGCCGTTGAAAATTAAAAAAGTTTTTTTCACGCGCGCCGCCAACAACTTCGCGGGGTTCCGGAGCTCCTCCTCGAGCTCCATCCCCCAAGTCACCGGAGGAGCTACCTGGGGCTCCACAGGAGCTACCTGGGGCTCCACAGGAGCTACCTGGGGCTCCTGGGGCTCTAGAGGAGCTACCTTGGGCTCCTGGGGCTCTAGAGGAGCTACCTGGGGCTCCTGGGGCTCCCAAGGAGCTACCTGGGGCTCTAGAGGAGCTACCTGGGGCTCCAGAGGAGCTACCTGGGGCTCTAGAGGAGCTACCTGGGGCTCCTGGGGCTCTAGAGGAGCTACCTGGGGCTCCTGGGGCTCCCAAGGAGCTACCTGGGGCTCTAGAGGAGCTACCTGGGGCTCCAGAGGAGCTACCTGGGGCTCCAGAGGAGCTACCTGGGGCTCCTGGGGCTCTAGAGGAGCTACCTTGGGCTCCTGGGGCTTCTGGGGCTCCAGAGGAGCTACCTGGGGCTCTAGAGGAGCTACCTGGGGCTCCTGGGGCTCCAGAGGAGCTACCTGGGGCTCCTGGGGCTCTGAAGGAGCTACCTGGGGCTCCTGGGGCTTTGCCTTTGGTGTTCATTCTTTTTTTTCTGAACAACCGAGCGAGCGGCGCCCCAACTGCCAAACCAGGTGACCTCACCTGGCGGGTGGGAGGGGGGCAGCCCCCACGCCCCTCCCCCCTATTCATACACAGCCCCTCCCCTCTCCCCCGCCCCCTCTTCCCCCCCCGCCCCCTCCCCGCTCCCCCGCCCCCTCCCCTCTCCCCCGCGTCTTCTCCACCCGAGCGCCATGGTGAACGGAGGAGCGCAGCGCTCAGCGGCAGCGACATCGGTTACTGCGCGCGGTGAGACGGAGACGCGCGCGCGCTATCGCTCACCTGTGCGTGGACTCTGCTCACCTGCGCGCGCTATCGCTCACCTGTGCGTGGACTCTGCTCACCTGTGCGTGGACTCTGCTCACCTGCGCGCGCTATCGCTCACCTGTGCGTGGACTCTGCTCACCTGCTCGCCTGTGCGTGGACTCTGCTCACCTGTGTGTGGACTCTGCTCACCTGTGTGTGGACTCTGCTCACCTGTGCGTGGACTCTTCATGAGAGTGTCAAACCCCCCCGCATGTGCGTGGACTTACCTGTGTGAAGCTCTCACCTGTGTGGCAATCTCACCCCGCGTGCGTGGACTCTGCTCACCTGTGCGGCAAATTTCACTCGCGGTCTTAATGAAAGTGTCAAACGCCTCGCATGTGCGTGGACTCACCTGTGTGAAGCTCTCACCTGTGCGGTAATCACCTGTGTCGACACTCACCCGTATAGACCCTCACCTGTCTGGACCCTCGCCTATATACCTGTGTGACTCGCCGTGCATGACGCTCACATGTGTGGACTCTTCGCACCTAGAGGAGACGCACCTATACGGATTCTCCCTTGCGTGGCACTCTCACCTGTACGAGTCTCTCATCTGTGTGAGACTCACCTGTGTGGCCTCGCACCTGCGTGAGACGTTACCTGTGTGGACTCTCATGGGAATATCGCCTCCTTATCACTTGCCTATAGCTACCACCACGGTTGCTGTTCCCGTGAACTTCAACTCACTGTTTCATTCCGCAAAACCATGTTGAGGACTCGGTATACCCGACCCCGACTGTGTATCTCATTCATCGAACGCTTAACCGCTACACTGCATGTCAGAGCAACACACTCGCTAACTAATCAGTCCACTCACTCACTCACTTAGTCCACTCACTCACCGACTCACTCACCCAGTCCACTCACTCATCCAGTCACCAGCCCACTCACTCATCCAGTCATCAGTCCACTCACTCATCCAGTCATCAGCCCACTCACTCATCCAGTCACCAGTCCACTCACTCATCCAGTCATCAGTCCACTCACTCATCCAGTCATCAGTCCACTCACTCATCCAGTCACTAGCCCACTCACTCGCTAACCTCACAAATCTCTCTGCGTCTTCACTCTCACTGCTCCACTCTGGAATTCCCTTCCAACAATCATCACCATCATCATCATCTTCCTCTCTTATCCCCCGACCAGAACCTTTTCCAATTCAAGAAAACGTGTCAAATTCACGTAACTATGGCAACGTTAACAGTGCCGTTTGTTCCTGGCCCTTTGGCGTTTCGGACCTTTTGATCTGCGCTCAGAAAACTGAGTTTCATCATCATTTACTCATAATAAAGGTTTTTGGGTTAGATCGCGTTATTTATAAATGTGTCGTGACCCTCCACCACCCGACACGGCCAATCAGCAAAAAAAGTGTCACGTTGACAAAAGACAAAATAGTTCACTACTTTAGCCCACCGGTGTGTCGAAGAGTGAATCCACAACATTTACAGTTTGAGTACTCAAACTGTAAATGTTGTGGATTCACTCTTCATGTTGTGGATTCACTCTTCCACTCTTCAGCACACCGGTGGGCTAAAGTAGTGAACTATTTTTGTCTTTTGTCAACGTGACACTTTTTTGCTGATTGGCCGTGTCGGGTGGTGGAGGGTTACGACACATTTATAAACAACGCGATCTAACCCAAACACCTTTATTATGAATAATATTGGTCGCGAAAGCCTACTACGTGTTAATTCTAGATTTGACTTTACCGAATAGAACCAAAGAGTATGGATCCTACATGTTAAACTGATCGTCATTTATTATCGAACATCCACGGTCAATCCACTTCTGGACGATTTCCTCCCCCCCCCCCCAATCAGCCGCCACCTCTCACGACACCCCACCACGCACCAACGAGCGGGTCCGTGAACTCATCTCACCAGCAACTGCGCCAAGGCAAATTCGCGGAAAGGTCCACGCTACGTCAACGCATCTTTCGACAGTCCGCGGCCATGCGATTGTTCAACTATACTGCAGCCTTGTCAACCCACTTTGGTTCTCAGTCGTATCATGACAAAAAAATATACGATGTTAATAAACGCATAGGGGTTTCATGAAACAAACGTAAGTCGTAACTTACGTGCCCGTGCCGAATGAGTGTTTTCGATGGTTTAACCTTCTTACAAAAAAAGAAATCTGGCCGTGGTAGGTATGTTGAACTTCTTTCGCACCATACGTAGCCAACCGCGCTAATCGGGGGTGCGCGGTGGGGAAGGAAGACAAACGAAACTCAAAAAATCAGTTCCAAAGAAATGTAGTTTATCACGTAGGCTTTCGCCCACAAATTGCCCGATGATGCTGGATGTAATTACCAGCGAAACGTCGCACTGAAAAAAGTGTAAATGCTGTGGATTCACTCTTCAACAACACACCGGTGGGCTAAAGCGGTGAACTATTTGTCTCATTGTCAACGTGACACGTGTTTTACTGATTGGCCGTGTCGGGTGGTGGAGGGTTGCGACACATTTATAAATAACGCGATCTAATCCGAAAACCTTTATTACCAAAGAAACGTAGTTTATCAATCTGGATCAGTGGTTATTAACCTCCACCACAGCTTGCACCTCTTTGCTTCATAATCGTAAACAATTAGTATGTTAATAAATACATAGAAGGGGTTTTATGAAACAAAGTAGTTGTACTTACGTGCCCGTGCCTAATTTGCGTTCTCCGTGATTTACCTTGCAACAAAAATCTGGCCACGTCTACGCAGAAGGGGCATCTCGCACCCCGCAGGGGATGCGTGCACCCCAGGTACCACTGCTCTGCACCTGTATCGAAATCAGCTCAAGCCTCCCGTAAAACCACGTGACTTGCGCGTGGATCACCACGCCCACTTTGAAGCCCTTCCTTCCCTCCTCCACTCTCCGCCCCCTTTGAAAACAGACGCCGCTCCCCCCATGCAGCTCCTCCTCTCTTCCTCGTCATCATCGACACTCATTACGCCACACAAAGCACCCGCCACATATGAAGCACAAGGGTACGTCGCTGATCTCGTCACGGAGCCTAAAGCACCATCGCCCCAACTCCGGCCATCCTCGCAGCAGCTGATTGTGGCTCGGCCGTCGAACACCGTCGCGCGGCGCTTTCAGACGCGCTCCTGCGGCCGTCTGGAACGCTCTTCCTTGCCGATATTCGGGAGCCACTGGGAGCTGTGGCACTTTTCAATCATCTCGATTGAAGTTGAACTTCTTTAGCACTGCTTTTCCGCGTGTCAGTTTGTTGTCCTTCCCCCGCACCTCCGATTAGCGCGGCCGGCTACGTACGGTGCGAAAGAAGTTCAACACGCATAAAGACACCGCCGCCATCATCATCATCATCGTCATCTCATCGTCCCCCGACATCTTGGCCAGGTCACTATTTCTCATCCTCTCTCCCCGCTGCTCATCTTGAGCCCCAGTGTCCTCCTCTTTGTCCGAACTCCCGTTCCCGGCCTCTCTTCCTGTTTGCCCGCCGCTCATCCTGAACCTCCGTCTCTGGCGTTCTGTAAGCGCGACGGTTCCTTTGAAAGGGGTGCGACAAGGGAAGCCTCCCCGTAACTCTGCACGGCGTTTGTTGCCTCGCGTGTGTTGCACCATCCTTGACTTTACCTCTCTTCACTCCCTTCCCGTGGTGCACCACGTGGGGGGGGGGGGGGGACACGTGTTCTAGTGCCTTCACATCGCCATCATCATCATCATCACCACCACCACCAGGGCCACTGTGCGACCACTGAACCAGGCTTGGCGAGGGAGGGCTGAAATGAATATGGTATCTGACGATTATTGGTCACGATTATTATTGGTGTCTCTATCTCCTGTTGGTCTCTACCCCTTCCTTGTGTCTCTACCCCTTCTTGTGTCTCTACCCCTTCTTGTGTCTCTACCCCTCCTTGTGTCTCTACCCCTCCTTGTGTCTCTACCCCTTCTTGTGTCTCTATCCCCTCCTGCTGGTCTCTACCCCTCCTTGTGTCTCTATCCCTCCTTGTGTCTCTACCCCTCCTGGTGTCTCTATCCCCTCCTTGTGTCTCTACCCCTTGTGTCTCTACCCCTTCTTGTGTCTCTATCCCTTGTGTCTCTATCCCCTCCTTGTGTCTCTATCCCCTCCTTGTGTCTCTACCCCTTCTTGTGTCTCTACCCCTTCTTGTGTCTCTACCCCTCCTTGTGTCTCTATCCCTTCTTGTGTCTCTACCCCTTCTTGTGTCTCTATCCATTCCTTGTCTCTATCCATTCCTTGTGTCTCTATCCCTTCTTGTGTCTCTATCCCCTCCTGGTGTCTCTACCCCTTCTTGTGTCTCTACCCCTCCTTGTATCTCTACCCATTCTTGTGTCTCTACCCCTCCTTGTGTCTCTACCCCTCCTTGTGTCTCTACCCATTCTTGTGTCTCTACCCCTCCTTGTGTCTCTACCCATTCTTGTGTCTCTACCCCTCCTTGTGTCTCTACCCCTCCTTGTGTCTCTACCCATTCTTGTGTCTCTACCCCTCCTTGTGTCTCTATCCCCTCCTTGTGTCTCTACCCCTTCTTGTGTCTCTACCCCTTCTTGTGTCTCTACCCCTTCTTGTGTCTCTATCCCCTCCTTGTGTCTCTATCCCCTCTTGTGTCTCTACCCCTCCTTGTGTCTCTACCCCTTCTTGTGTCTCTACCCCTCCTTGTGTCTCTACCCCTTCTTGTGTCTCTACCCCTCCTTGTGTCTCTACCCCTTCTTGTGTCTCTATCCATTCCTTGTGTCTCTACCCCTCCTTGTGTCTCTACCCCTTCTTGTGTCTCTACCCCTCCTTGTGTCTCTATCCCCTCCTGGTGTCTGTGCCTATCCACTTGCTAGTGGCAAATGCGATATTCCCTCTCTCTCTTCGTGTATAACACGCGACTCGCTTGGCTCGGCGTAAACCGTTCACTAATGATTGAGGAAGTGTTGTAGACCAGGAGTCGGTGACCTTTCAAAAGCAGCAGCAGCAGGAGCAGA